ACACTTAAGGTCGTTTGAGGATCTGTTCCTCAGGGGTCAAATGGGCTTGGGAGGAGCCCCTGGCTCCTTTCTTTTTACCAGTTCCACCTATGTGAAGATAAGTCAAAGGTCCTGCTCGACCATGGCTGGCTTTGCTTGGAAGCATGGAGGAAATGATTCCTCTATGTTGACCCTCCTCTTTGTAGACTGGACACTGGTTCAAGTCCATCTGGTGGGGTCTCCACAGGCTCCTTGATCAAGAGGACAGGTGACTCGCCACAGTTACAGGACATTTTGAGAGATGCTTATAGTCCCCTGGAACTAGTCAACTTAGGAAAGCAAGGAGCAAAAACTGTCCTTTACATCCCTCTTGTGATACTTAATAGAGTGACACAGACACATGCATACAACATTAAAAGAATGGATAGATAACAGATGGATGAATGGATGGATGGATGGATGGATAGATAGATGATATATAAATGATCAATAGATGATAGATGGATAGATGATAGATGGTAGATGGATAGATGATCAAGAGATGATAGATGGATGATGGATAGGTAGATGGATAGATAGAAGATAGATGGATAGATAGATGAAAATTAGGTGATAGATGGATAGACAGATAGATGATAGATGATAAATAGATGATCAATAGATGGATAGATGATAGATGGTAGATGGATAGACAGATGATCAAGAGATGATAATAAATAAATGGATAGATAGATGATGGAGAGATAGATGGATAGATAGAAGATAAATGGATAGATAAATGAAAAATAGATGATAGATGGATAGCTAGATGGTAGACAGACATTCAGACAGAGAGAGAGAAAGATAGATAGATAGATAGATAGATAGATAGATAGATAGAAAGATAGATAGATGATAGATAGATAGATAGATAGATAGATAGATAGATAGATGGAAAATCTCACCTCAGGAACATGATCCATGGCTACTCACTCAGAAGTTGCTATGTCATCCTCATTTTAAGACTGCAATAGAACTTAATCCCTAGCTGATATTTTTGATGCAATTTTTCATTGTCTTGCATCTTCACAGGGATGTGAGCCCCATAACAGTCCTTCTCTAACTTATGCACGGCTGATTCCTTCCTTGTGACCTAGAACACTCTCTAACAGATAGTACCTATTCAACATTTGTTGAATGAATAGACAATCAGACATATTTTTGGCATATTTTCTTGATAGGTTATTGGAGAGTACTTTTTGTTTAGAGAACAACTGAAGAGACGGTACATAGCACCCCCAACGTACTGTAATTTCCTTACATGCAGTTCTGCTATTATCAATCATAGACTACGGTAGCGTATACAATGCCAATACATTTTTGTTACCTAAGATCCAAGATTATATTGGATTTTACTCTTCAGAAAGAAGGATAAATCTACATTTCCAGAGGTTTTGGGCGGTGTATAATGTCATCTATCCAGTAAGGCAGTACCACATGCAGTAGTTTCTCCACCGTGTTCCACCTGTACTCTCTTGCTCTCCTCTTCCCTCCTTCCCTCTAAACCCTGGCAATTAGTTATGCATTGTTTTGCCTTTTCTACATGTCATGTGTTTAAACATTCCAGGGGCTTAATAAGAGATGGGACTTCTCCTTCCCTCCCTCTTTAAACTCTGCCCTACATCCAACCTAGCCTATGTAGGTGTCAGACTGATTCTGACAAATACTGCCTTAATCATCTTCTCCAGTCCAAACCTCCAAAGAGTCCTCAATTCAAGAGTCCTCAATTTCCCCTAAGACTTTCATTAGTAATTCAATTTCCCACCCCCAATGACACCTTTGTTTTTCTCCAGACACATCTTTATTTTGCTCATTTTTCTTCCATGATTTTTCATCTCCTTAGGAAGCCTTCCCCTCTTCTCTCCTACAAGCAAGCATTGCCCAAGTGTGTTCTAAAGCACCTAGTTCTGTGAAATAACAGTACTCACATCTATCTGTATTCTTCTGATTTTCCTGATATACTGTTTGCTGGAATGTACTCTGAGAAAATCAAAGGCTGTCTAGAACAAAGTTAAATTATTTTTTGCAGAAATTTAAGAGAATTAAAAATTTCAGTGTGTGTGTGTGTGTGTGAGAGAGAGAGAGAGAGAGAGAGAGAGAGAGAGAGAGAGAGAGAATAAAGGTTGACCTCTGAGGACCTTTCATATATTAGGCATGCTCTACTACAGAGCTACCCCCACAGCTTATTAGTATATATTGTGAGTTATGGAATGTAATATTTCTTAAACTTTCAACAAAGTCCTTTTCTCAAGAAATTTCTAGTGTTACATGAAATAAATTTCACAGTAGGTTCAAGAGACGGCTCAATGGTTAAGAGCATTGGCTGCTCTTGCAGAAGACCCAGGTTCGATTCCCAGCATCCATCTGGTGGCTGACAGCCATCTGTAACTCCAGTTCCATGGGTTCTGATGCCTTCTTCTGGCCTCCACGGGCATTCCAAGCACATGGTACACTCTACTACCTTACTGAAAGTTCTTAGAAGGACTGTATCAAGCACACTTTTTTATTATTTATTTTTATTTTCTGTGTATGAGTGTTTTGCCTACATGTATGTAAATGCACTGTGCACATGCACTTTCCATAGAAATCAGAAGAGGGCACAGCATCCCCTGGAACCAGTGCTATGGACAGTTGTTAACTTCCATGTGGGTGCTGGGAACTGAACCCAGTTCCTCTGCAAGAATAGTCAGTGCTCTTAACCACTGAGGCATCTCTCCAGTTCCTACATAGCTAAAAGTTTTAAAAAATGACCCCTGGAGGGATGACTGGACTCTACAACTGCATCATCACAGATTTTAGTGGCATCACCTGGCCAAAGGCCTGCAGCACCCATTGCTTAATGTTGACACATAGTTTACTTTCGGAGCCCAAGTTTGCTTTTATTTTTAAGATAGAAATATATTCTTCCTTCTGAAATTCTTTTCTTGCTCTCATTTGACAAGATTTGCCTGTAGTGTGTTTTCTGTGGCTGTTGTCAACTCCTGTCCCATCCCCAGCACTCCATCATCTGGGAAACTGGATGGCCAGGCATGGATTACAGATCCAGACATTAGCTTTCCGTCAGGACATGCAAAAGCCTGAATAGAACGCTATTTGTCTGTGTGCTGTGAGAAAATCATCTTTTATTCATTTTCTGGGTTTTGAAAGCTACAGAATCAACAGGAAGGAACTCTGATGCCATTTTAAAGGGATTTTTCACTCAAGTGTCTTGGAAAGTTTCTGTTAAATTCCAATGCAAGTTTCAGGGGACTGGAAGTATGATAAAGAGGATGGAAAATGAACTTTGGACAAAACTCTCTAAGCCAGTATGGTTGGTAATTTAATCCTTGTACTTTTCCTTGCAGTCCTGTGGCAACATCTACAAAGGCCTGGCTCAGACTGGTGCCTGGGGCTGTTTTGATGAGTTTAACCGAATCTCCGTGGAGGTCCTATCTGTGGTGGCAGTACAGGTATGGGGCCAGAAATCGATGGGAGCCTCACAGTGTTCACACCAAGCCATGTGGAAGTCCACAGCCTGTTTTCATCCTTCCTCAGTACCCATTTCCTCTCCTCACTTGCCATTTCATTCCCCTTCTTTATTCCTTTACAATCAAATTCAAGGGCTGCTGTTCTCTGTTGTAAGTAACCTGCAATTGACCACCAAAACACACTAGCTAGGAGACTCCATTTGCCTCTCTGTAATATAGGAACTGGATTACCTGTCCTGCCTGCTTTGTAGAGGTGCAGAAAGGGACCAGCCCAGGAGGTAGAGCCCAGCTACTTGAAAAGATCACGTTGGCTATAGACCAGGGCTCCAGTCTCAGCTCTTGAATTTGCTGTCAAAATCACTAAGCAAATTAAACATGTTTCTCCTATTTTACTGTTATGTTCAAAGCAAGGATTGTGGCGTCACTGTTGTTGAATGAAATTCTTCCTTCATACTTCAGGCAAGCATACCACCTGCCTTTTGAGGCATCAGAAGGTACTTCTGGACCACCTACAGTGCAATACGCACCATGCTAAGGACCAGACTGAAGGTGCCTGACTGAAGAGGATGATTCCTAACTTCAAAAGTATCTTGAGATTTTTGAGACAGACATGAGCTCTCTCAGTGTTCTAAAAGTGATCTGAATCTAGATCTGCACTATAGGACAAGCCTTCCATTTCCAGACAGGCTTCCCCAGTTCCCAGTGGTGAGGTATAGTTTCCCCTTCCTTGGATTTTCTCTGTTCCTCTGTTCTGTAGGAGTAAGGAAACAAAGCCCAGCTGGTGACGTAAACTCTCTTTCATAATGAAACTGTGACCTGCCTTGGCCCAGTGAAGCATCTTCTATGCATGTCTGTGGTCTCACATCAGGGTAGCTTTAAGTGGTCTTGGATGGCTGGGATGTATATGAGAGTTATGGAATGTAACTGGAAGCTAGGGACGTGGACCAGTGGTAAGGTGCTTGCCTAGCATGCACAGGATCCTAGGTTCAACCCCTGCTATACTGCCCTTCCCAGAAACCTACCATTTATGATGATACTCAGTAATTCTACACATGAAGGGCATATTTATTTTTCTGAAGAGCTAGTGTTAAACATTTGCCAGTACACTCCTGACTTGCAAGAATGTGAACCTGGTGTTGCCTAATCTGAAAGTGACATTATAAGAAATTGTATTATATTCTTTTTCTATGAGTCTAATGAAATATCTGATGTTGAACTACATTATAAAGAAAACAGTTTCATTTGGTTCACATTTCTGGAAGTTCAAAGACACACATCTGGTAATCACTCCTTGCTATCAGAGCCCCAAGGAATCACATCACAGGGCATCACAAGGTGACAGACAAGGTGTGTATGTAGGGGGGTGTCTTCTTATAAAGACACAGGATTCAATCATTGGTCTCACCCTAATGATCTTGACTAATCCCAATCACCTCTCAAAAGCCAAACTTCTAAACAGCATAGTTGGGATCAAGTTCCCACCCTCTGGATATCTTGTAATGAGTATTATTTCAACACATGAACCCCTGGGAGACACACTCAGACTATTTCCACATCATACTGGAAATCAAACATGTCTTCTGTTTCTTTCCATACTTGGGTGGTGTCTCCCATTTGGCTAGTTCCTCCAAGGGGCTGGGCCTGCCGCAGAGGGTGGACTACTGAGGTGTTGCTGGGAGCCATCTTGGGACTGAAGCCCCGAGTGTCGGGTAGCTTGTAGTGTGAGGAACGGGCAGCCACGCAGAAGCTCAAGGACAGAATGGCCTGACACTTACGGACCTGGGGCAAGATCACTGGCCCCTGAGGCATGAGAGAATGCTGGCGGTGACTATGGGTGTGGCGTGGTCTGTTATGGTGGGCTCTGAGCCTCTGTGCAGGGCTAGGCACTGGGTACTCATTCGTTTGTAAGTTAATAAATGTGCATAAAGATATGTTATATGGTTTGCTTGATTTTGCAAGAGACCCAGAGGGAACTCGAGCAACAGGTGGTCACATCACAACTTGGATCCAGGAGTGGACTTTAGTGAATTCATTCTGATGTGTACAATGTAGAGTACACAAACCTTTCTTGGAGCACTAATTCCAGCCCTGGGGTAGTTCTCAACATCTGGAGAGAAGCCACCTTTTCTCTGCTGTAGCCACTGAAATGTTTGCCTTGCCATCCCTAATATTGTGTAGTTGGTCTCTTTTCCCCCACTGCAGTGTCTATCTTTTTATTCCCTTGCCCACTATCCTGTTATTTCCATTTACTTTTATGTTTACCTCTCATCTTTGCATTTGTGATTTTCTGCCCCCTCCTCTGGCTGATTGCCATACTATTTTGAAGATATCTCTTGTTCTCACCAGCCAGGTTGCACTACTGTGTCTGATTTCATATAAGTCCAGAACCATTCATTATGCATAATTCCATCTATGAGTGTCCAAGGTAAAACTTAGTACTAAGGCATTGCCATGGACTATCTCAGGGGGTGTCTAAAGGCATTCTTTTCAGTGTGCTCCAGGGAGGCAGAGCAGAAAGAGATGTGTGAGAGCAAGGATAGGGTCAGCAGAGAGCCTGTCTAGCTCCAGACATTATGCAAACAAGTTCTAAGAGCAACTGGCATTATTAATTTTTTTTAATTTTTAAATTGTTTTAATTTTATGTATATGAATATTTTGCCTGCATGTATGTAAGTGCACCCATGTCATGTAATACCCACAGAAGCCAGAAGAGGGCATCGGATCCCCTGGAACTGGAGTTAAGGATGATTGTTAACCACATGTGGGTGCTGGGAACTGAACCCATGTCCTCTAGAAGAGCAGCCAGTGCTCTTAACTGCTGAGCCATCTCATTGACCTCAAATTGGGATCTTTAAGTCACTTTTTATATCATGGGGTTGGAAAATGGCTCAACCAGTAAGCTCTGAAATCATATCCTAATGCCCAATTCTAGCTCTTCCACTTACTAGCTGTATAACCTTAAGGAACTCTATCTTTACACGTGTAAAGGGGGTTAATAATACTATCTACTTAAGGCAATCGTAATGACTTTCAGACATTAATATATTCAAAAGTATATGTATGTAGCCGTGTTGCTGGGATGAAACCCAGAGACTTGCACACGTTACATGTGTGCTCTACCATTGAGTTAAGCCCAATTCTTTCACTGTAACATATTTTCAATGAGTTGATACCTAAAATATTTAAATCAAAGCCACCCTATAAATGATAGGTGCTCAATAACTGTTAGGGTTATGATACTGATAGTGGTAGTGGTAATGATGGTGATGATGCTGGCAGTTGATGATAAGGATGATGATGGTGTGGGTGGTGGTGATGATGAAGGCAATGATAATGAACTTGATAATGATGATTTTGGTGGTAATGATAATGGTGATCCTGATGCTGATGAAAGTGATATTGATGGAGTGGGTGGTGATGATTTTGACTATAGCAATGATGAGGATGAGGCTAGTATTGATAGTGATGGTGATGATGACAACGGTGGTGGTGATGATAATGAAGGTGATGATATTTATGGTGGTAGCAATAGTAATGGTGAGGATGGTGGTGAAGATGATAATGATGGTGATGATGATGATGGCAACAGTGATTATGATGGCAATAGAAATGATGATGATAATGATGACTGAGGTGATAATTAAGGGGACACGATGACTACAGTGGGAGCAATGATGAGGATGGCAGTGGTAGTAAGGATGATTGCATCATTATCTTAACATGGCAGGAGATAAGTTAGAAGTAGATGACTGTGACCCATGTGGCAGAGATGGCAGTCCACACCAGGATCACACAGGCCTGTGCTACACCCTCACTTTTCAGCTGGACCATCTCAGATTACCTTAGCAACATTAACACTTTGCTAGCTGTTGAGACTGCCCAGTAGCCATTGCCCACTTCTCAGGAGATAGACAATGAATTTACCTTATTTTGAAAATGACCAATACAAGGTCAGTAAAAGAGTTCATTTCTTTTGCTCCTGGAACTCAGTAAAGTAAGTTCTACCCAGAATTCCCTGATGCTGCCATATTGCAGTCTAGGAACACACCCATAGAAGACAGTCTCAAGTAAGTGGTCTGACAACAGCTCCGGCAAAATCTGAGCTGGTAGCATTTAAAATCATATAACCATCCAAGGAGAAAATTGTGCTTAATTATTCACACAGTAATCCTGGCTGGCATATTGGTTTGGAAACTGCTCCAGCTGCTGACAGTTCGTCGCCGCCCTCCCCTCTCTCCTCTCCTCTCCTCCTCTCCCATACCCCTCCCTTCTCCTCTCCTCACCCCTCTGTGCTTCTTATCCCAGTAACTTCTGGAGAAGTGATTATGCTCTAGTGTCTTCATTGTTGGGTATTTTCATACCTCTGTCAGGTTGGTCAAGCAGAATTGCATACCCATTTGGGAAAATCCTCAGTGGAAACTGCAAGAGAAATTACTCTACTATTTTTAAAATGCCTGACACTACTTAATCCTTTTCAGGGTCCCTTCATTGCTGCATCAATCATCTCTCTAGACTTTGGATTATCTGAGCCTTGGGAAACATACCACCAAAGTACACCTCATCACCTTGAACCTATAGCCCCTTCCCCCTCTATATTCTCTGGTGTCCCAGTCCTTATGGTATAGGCATTGACAGTGTGCTGGGCTGCAGCAGGAAGCAGTTGAGCAGCAGATCTAAGCAAGATATGGCAGTAAACTTCTGTAATCCTAGCACTATGGAGGCTAAAGTGGGAGGGTTGTGAGATCAAGACCAGCCTAGGTACATAATGAGACCCTGTCTTTAAAAGATAAATAAATAAAAAGAAAATCTATTAGCAAGGGACTGTACTATAGCAGGGCTCTAAGGACTGTAGACATAGAACAAATTCTCCAGTCTGCCAGCCAAGGGAATGTCCCAAGTTGCACCCTTTATAGACGAGCTTATTGTAAAAAAAAAAAAAATTAAACAACAAGAAATATAAAAATTCACAGAGCAGTGAGTGG